CCATCCCTGTTGGAAGCCTTTGCTACTGTTGATGGTGAAGCATGCAGGCACCGTTTAATTCAGCCCTCACTTGTTCCTCTACCAGTGTCTGAGCTTGCTAGGGATAGTATGGCTTTTGTAGCCAACTTTGGATTACGAGCTTCTGGAGGTCAGATTATTTGTCACCATTGTGGAGGGGTTGGACATGTTAGGGCTCGTTGCTTCAAACTTCATCCTGAACTGAAACAAAATTTTTCTATGAACCGTTTATCTGGAACTGGTTCTTCTCGTACTGCGGCTGTTACAAAAACTCCTGTTACTACTGGTGGATCTACTGTATTTCCTGGACTGAGCCAGCTTCAGTCTCAGATTGGGCAGATTCAGGACTAGCTTAGCTCCCTTGCTTCTAAAGTTGGAGCTCCTTCAGTTGCTCCCACTACCACTATTGCTACAGGTACTCCTACTGCATTTCATGTTAAAGCCAAGCAACCCACTTAGGTTCTGGATTCTGGGGCCAATGATCACATGACTGGTGAGTTATTAGTTTTTTCTTCTAATGTCATACCTGTTACCCAATCTGTGTATCTTGCGGATGGCTCTACATCTTACATTCACAGTAAGGGTGATGTTTGTCTATCTCCTGATATTACTGTTTCATCTATCCTTCATGTACCTAAACTTGCCTTTAACCTTTTATCCGTTAGCCGGCTTGCAAAAACCTCCAATGTGCAGTTATATTCTTACTAGATCACTGTTTGTTGCAGGACCTTTGTTCGAAGAGGATTTTTGGAAGGGGTTATGAGCGTGATGGGCTTATTACTTTGGGGAACCACCAGGAACGAGTCTTCAAGCTTCTATCTTACCTACTTCTAGTGTTTATGATGTTTCTTTTCGCACCTTTAGTCTGTGGCATGTACGTTTGGGGCATGTAAACTTTTAGTATCTATGTTTATTGTTTCCTTTGTTAAATAAAGTATGTAAGGACCATAAGTTTCAATGTGAAGTTTGTGAGCTTTCTAAACATACTAGAACTAGCTATATTTCTCATATGAGTCGTGCTCCTAGTATGTTTGATCTTATTCATTCTGATGTCTGGGCCCTTCCCTAGTTACTGCTTTCTCTGGACATCGATATTATGAGACATTTATTGATGATTATTTTCGTTGTACTTGGGTTTATTTATTGAAAAAGAAATCTAATGTGTTTTTTTTTTATTTACCCAGTTTCTTCAAATGATCAAAACCCAGTATAACACTGTTGTCCATAATATTCGTTCTGATAATGGACGAGAATATGTTTCGAATGAGTTCCGGACTGAACTTAATAAAAAAGAGGATTTTACATCAACTCACTTGCCCCTACACTCCTGAGCAAAATGGCGTGGCTGAACGCAAAAACCATCATCTTATGTTTGTGGTCCGATGTCTTCTGAGTGGTATGCATGTGCCTAAATTTTATTGGCATATGGCTGTTCTTACAGCTGCTTTTCTAATTAATCATACTCCCAGTCGAGTTTTGGGTGGTAAGGCCCCACTTCAGAATCTCCAGCCTGATTATACATTGTTTCACCTTCTGCCTTGTGTTTTCAACTGTACTTGTTTTGTTCATAACCGTAGTCGTTCTCGTCATGAACTTGATGATAAATCTATTAGGTGTATTTTTGGGGTATTCTGCTATGTCAAAGGGCTATCGTTGTTATGATCCTGTGACCAAACATATGTATCATTCTCTTGATGTGACATTTCATGAAACTATTCTTTTTTATAGTCTGTGGTATAGGATTCTCTCTCTTTTGATCTGGAGAAGGAGATTTCTCCTATTGCCCATCCTGTTCCTCTCTTTAAAAATCACACTGTCCTAGAATATCCTTCTCCATCCATGTAGGATTCCCCTCCACCTTTACAAGTCTACTCTCGTCACCATCACACTCAACCTCCCCTATCAGAATCATCTTCAGAACCAGGTCCAGGTAACTCTCCTTCTCCTATGGCTCTTACCATTCTTGAGCATACCTCCCGTTATCCTACCCGTGATCGTCACCCTCCTAATTGGTATGATTTTTCTAGTAGCACTAACCACCTTATTTCATAGTATGTCTCCTATGATGGTCTTTCAGGTGCATATAAATCCTTCCTGGGCAAGATTGGGACCATTTCTATTCCTTGATCCGTGTCAGAGGCCCTCCAGGATCCCAATTGGGTGTCTGCCATGACAACAGAAATGGATGCTTTACAACATAATAATACATGGGAACTTGTTGCTTTACCTGCTGGGGAGAAAACGGTTGGCTGCAAATGGGTCTTTAATTTTAAGTACTTAGCCGTTGGTTCTATTGATCGGTATAAGGCTCGGTTGGTGGCAAAAGGCTTTACTTAGATTCCAGGCAAAGACTTTAGTGCTACCTTTGCTCCTATGGCAAAGTTGACATCTGTGCGACTGCTTATCTCCTTGTCTGCTGCCCATTCTTAGCCTCTGCATCAGTTGGATGTCAAGAATGCATTACTTAATGAAGACTTACTTAAGACTATATATATGGATCCACCCCCTGGATTTCGGGCTGAGGGGGAGTATACTGGGAAAGTTTGTAGGCTGCGGAAGTCTCTTTATGGTCTGAAGCAATCTCCTAGAGCTTGGTTTAGTCGTTTCAGCGATGTTGTTCTATCCATGGGCTTTGTGTGCTGCCACTCAGACCATACTTGCTTTATTCGACGTCGCTCTGATGGTCGTTGCATTATGTTATTGGTATATGTGGATGATATCATTATCATAGGTAATGATGCTTCAGGGATTGCTTAGGTGAAACTTCATCTTCAAAAGTTCTTTGATGTGAATGACTTAGGTCATCTTCGATATTTTCATGGAATTGAGGTTGTTAGATCCCGTCGTGGAATTTCTTTATCTCAAAAGAAATATTTTTGGATCTTCTCCAAGATACTGGCATGCTTGGGTGTCGACCCGCTACCACTCCTATGGACCCCAATCTCTAAACTCTCTGTTGAGTCAGGGGAATTACTTTCAGATCCAGCCATGTATCAACGTTTAGTAGGTCATCTTATCTACTTGACTAACACAAGGACCGATTTAACATTTGCTGTTAATGTGATTAGTCAATTCATGCATGCCCCTTGCTCAACTCATATGGATGCAGTCTACCATATTTTGGGGTATCTTAAGTCGTGCCCTGGTCTTGGTCTGTTCTATGCCTCGGGAAATTAGTTTGGACTCTCATGCTTTACTGATGCAGATTATGCTGGATGTAAAACAGATATACGTTCTACCTCTGGCTTCTGTACTTTCTATGGTAATCATCTCATATCATGGAAGAGTAAGAAGCAAGCTGTTGTCTCTATATCCTCTGCTGAAGCTGAATACCGAGCTATGGCTCAAGGTACTTGTGATCTCCTTTGGCTTCAATCAATTTTGGGAGAGTTAGGTCAAGGCTGTTTTGTGACAATAAATCAGCCATTATGCTTGCTTCCGATTCTGTTTTACATGAAAGGTCGAAACATATTGAGGTAGACATTTACTTTATTTGAGAGAAGGTTCGATCAGGTATCATTAATCCTATTTTTGTTCCCTCTTCAGAACAGACTGCAGATATGTTCACAAAGTCTGTTGGGCCTTCTATTCTCCAGTAAAGTAATCTGTAGGCTTAATCATTATCGTAATCTGTAGAGCCTATCTCAATCTTATGAGATGGTGCGTTAATTTAACAATCTTCCCCTATCCGCGGGTATTTAAATTATATATCCATCAGTTGCCCCCCATTTCGGAGGATTGCTTGTCAAAACACTAGAACGTTAATTCCAAATATTACATAACAATAGATATTTAGTATTGTAGAGTCATTCACCCCGTATTTGTACAAGAACTTGGTTTGATTATTAGATAGTAGAGCCTTGCCCATTAGCCTGATCATATTGCCACTTCGTGAACACAGTCGGGAGTCGAGCCTGACTCAAATTTAGCCTGACACAGTCAGGGGTAGAACCTGACTCAAATTTAGCCTAACACAGTCGGGGGTAGAGCCTGACTCAAATTTAGCCTAACTTAAATTTAGCCTGACACAGTCGGGGGTAAAGCCTAACTCAAATTTAGCCCGACTTAAATTTTTATTTTTATTTTTTTAATTTTTTGTTTTAGGACCGTAGATGTCTTTAACATATTTGTCGTAGTGCCACATTGGCAGCTCATTTATGTGGCAAGCTGCCATGTTAGCAGCCTACCTTTCGGCACATAGGCAACTCATGTGGGGATGCCAGTGTGGTTGTCCTATTTGAGGATTGACTCCTAATCCTATTCTCTGACTAACATGTTGTCTGTGATTCCACCTTGTAGAACTAAATTCCTACGCAAAATAGCCTGTTGGGAATTAATTGTCCCTCACGAAGCAGATTTCTGTTAGGACTCCACTATAAATCTCTTCCTTATCTGTTTACATTCTTCTTCTATAAATCGAGATGGTTTGAGTAGAATTCATTCAAATTATTTCCATCTTCCAGAAAACCAAGTAGTACCAGTCGTAGTGATGTTATTTTATACTTGATTTTATTGACATCTTTAGTCAGCTCATCCCTTTAATAAGAGAAGTAGATTAATACGAGTTTTACTCATCTCACCCTTTAACAAGGGAAGTAGATTACTATGAGCTTGTTCACACTTTAACAAGGGAAGTAGATTATTATGAGTTTAACCCAGCTCACCCTTTAACAAGGGAAGTAGATTAGTATGAGTTTCACCCAGCTCACCCTTTAACAAGGGAAGTAGATTAGTATGAGCTTCACCCAGCTCACCCTTTAACAAGGGAAGTGGATTACTATAAGCTTCACCCAGTTCACCCTTTAACAAAGGAAGTAGATTATTATGAGCTTCGCCCAGCTCACCCTTTAACAAGGGAAATAGATTAGTATGAGCTTCACCCAACTCACCCTTTAATAAAGGAAGTAGATTGCTATGAGCTTCACTCAGCTCACCCTTTAATAAGGGAAGTAGATTACTATGAGCTTCACTCAACTCACCCTTTAACAAGGAAAGTAGATCGCCTTCATGGTATTTAGGGTTGTCCTCCCCAGGATAATGTTGTATAGTGATGGGCAGTCCTCCACTAGAAAGTCCACTATCACAGTGACCTGCTTTGGATGGGCTCCTGCAGTGATTGGAAGGGTAACTGCCCCGAGTGGATATACTTTGTCGCTTAAAAATCCCACCAATGGTGACTTCATGGGTCGTAGCTTCTTTCGGCCAATTTTCAATTTGTCGAACACCCCAAGAAATAGTATGTCAGCTGAGCTGCCATTGTCAACCAATATTAGTTGAACAGTGAAATTAGCGACGACCATGGAAAATACCAAAGGATCATCATGGGGCTGGTGAATTCGCTTGTCATCTTCTTCAGAAAAGGTTATGTCCAGCTCCTCAACTCGCGGTAATTTTGTTGGAGGAATTGTCACTCCAACTTCATTCACCTCTGAAAAACTTCGAATTCTCCTGGCATAAGCCTTCCAAGCTGAACTCGTCTCACCACCACCAGCGAAGCCACCTGATATAACTCTAATCTCACCTATTGGTTGGTGTTGAGGAAAGTGATCATCTCGGCCCTCTTGGGATAGGTTAGAGCCTCTTCTTCCATTCCAAGTCGTGAATTTGCGTAAATGACCCTTACGAACAAGGTTCTCGATTTGGTTCTTGAGGTCCAAACAATCTTTTGGGTTAAGTCCATGGTCCCAGTAGAACATATAATATTTATCTCGAGACCTCTTTATTGGATCAGCTTTTAACTTTAGTGGCCATTTCAATCATGAGTCACCTTCAATCTGCAGAAAGACCTGCTCTATAGATGTGTTTAGAGGGGTGTAGTTATTATACCTACTTGGGCTTACTGGATGACGAGACGATCTGTCAGCTTGGCTGTTTGAGAATTTCTTGTACTTCGATTTATTTTCCTCCCTAGTGTTAGGTGCTGACCTCTTTTTATCCAATCTCTTATCTTCACCATCTTTGTTTTTTCGTGCATTCATAGCATCCTCAGCGTTCATGTGCTTCCGCGCTCTAACCATCAACTCTGCCATGCTCGTAGGTACTTCTTTTGACAAGGAGAATAAGAACTTAGAGGTCTGTAGTCCTCCCATAAAGCTATGAGGGCAACCTTGTTGTCCACCTCTTCTACCTGTAGCATTTCAGTGTTAAAACGACTTATGTAATCATGAAGAGGCTCTCTCTTCTGCTGCTTCACATTCAATAAGTGTGTTGTTGGTCTCCTGTGCCTCTGCCCAGCGATGAAGTGTCCTCTAAATTGTTTGCTCTATTCATTAAATTTTTCAATAGAGCCTGGCTTTAATTTATTGAACCAGAGACGAGCCCAACCCTTTAGTATAGTAGGGAAAGCCCTGTACATAATCTCATCCGGTACGACTTGCAAATACATAAGGGCTTTGTAAGTCTCCAAATGATTAAGAGGGTCCCACGTCTCATCAAAGCTTTCAAGAGTTAGCATCTTGAATTTGCTAGGTAGAGGACAACTCATAACAGCTAAGCTAAATGCTAGGTTGGTTTTCTGTACCAGATCGTTCACTGCGGCCTAGCCCTTCCTTTTCATTGCTTGCATGACATCTTCGACCCTAGCTCTCAGATTTTGCATCTGTAGATCAAAATGAGTGACGTCCTCAGTCTTATCGCCAACACAACCAGAGGTATCTCCACGGAGCCTGGCGGTATTCCATTCAGGAGACCGATGGTGATGGCTTCTCTGTTAACCTCCTATTTAACTAAGCTCAGCGTCGTTGTCAATCCTACGGGAGTTATTGTTGGGTACTTCACTGTTCCCCACATCGTTAGGGGGGCTAAGCATTGCAGAATCATTGCATTTTGCTGGACTAATTGGTTCATTCCCTCATTTAAGGTTTAAACCTGTTGTTCTAACACTGCGACATGTTCCTAATCGTTTGGGACGAAGGGGGGTTGCCTCCTCAAGTCCCATTGATCAAAAGTCTGCAACTCTTCATCCTCATCAGCAGCCAGATCAAATCACAATCGAACCATGCTTTGTTTAGAGAACTAAAATCGTTTCCTACAGATGGCGCCAACTATTGATGCAAAAATCTGCACGGTCCGGAGCCAGGGGTGGTTCCTGCAAGATAAGAGAAAAGTGACAACTAACATGGTGCTGGCCTGGTGCACTCCGACGGTTAAGTTAGTACTTGACAATTGAATATCTAATAAAGGATTAAATATAAGATTTATAGCGTACCTTTTTAGGTTGACTGATGACTTCTTTTATAGAAGTATTCACGGTAGTAGTCTTCTATCATTAAACAAATTTACTTTCCTTATCCATTACGGATTTAAGAGTCGCTGGAGAGGGTAATAGTTGTTATTTCTATCTCCTTAAGTTTATCCACACCCTTTAAGTCTCCATGTCACTTAGAATTCTTATTTAGTCAAATATTCCGTAGACTTACCATCATCTTAATCCTTATCGTAATCTGTAGGCTTAATCCTTATCGTAATCTGTAGAGCCTATCTTAATCTTATGAGATAGTGCGTTAATTTAACAATCTTCCCCTATCGCGGGTATTTAAATTATATATCCATCATAATCAGTTGGTGATACCACATGATTAATACAATCGAGGTAACTAAGGACTGCTTGTTTTGTAACTATTAAAACAGTTTGCTTAGTTCAGTTTTTTGAAAACTTAGTTACAAAAATGTCTTTTCAGATAAGTATAAAATATTTAGGCCCTGCTTGGATTAGAACTCTCAAAATAGTTTTCTATTCTGAGAGTTATAAAAATCCAAAAATTGGTTATTAGTTCTACTATGTTCTTGAAAAATAATTTTTTAAAAATTGGAGTCACAAAAGTGCATTTTTCAGAAAACTACTAAAAGGTGTTCTCAGTGTTTCTCAAAAAATTTATCGTTTGTGTGAAAACACCGAGAAAAAAAAAATAGGTTGAAAAAAAAAAAAAATTCCACGATTAGTCACAAAAAAGAATTGAGGTTATTTTTATAAGGGTAAAAAAAAATTGTATTTAGTAAAATATTTATAATATTTTCCTAATCCAATCCTCTTGGTAATAATGGTCTATTGGAAGCTAGGCAATATTTATTATTTTTGTTAACTAAAAATTTGTAAGAATGTCGATTTGCTCAATATTTTTTGTGCTTTTTCCTAGTTAATATGCTAAATATTTTTTTCTAGTGTTAATTTTTTTAAGCCTCATGTTTTGTACACTTCACCAGTTAAGAATACACTTCGAATTTATAAGAACTTCAAAACAATTCTTCAACTCCCTTTTTTTTAAAAAACTTCAATATTGTATTTGTGCAATTTTTATTAATTCAAGAATATTTAACCATCTAATACTTATAATAAATTTTCAAAAATAAATAAAAGATTGATATGCAATACTCTTTAGTTTTCATGAAACTATTTTCAGTATATACGACTAAGTAGTTTTATGAGCTTTTATTTTCTGAAAATTATTTTTGTAGTTTTCTCTACCAAGTAGATTTTCAAACTAAAAATGCTAAAAATTGTACTCTATTTTGGTTCTCTGAAAACTATTCCTGAAAACAGTTTTGAGAGTTACAAACCTTATTATCTGAGAACAGTTTTCTTTTTTATGAGTTTTTCATAAATGTTTTCAGAATTACAAACCAAGCAGGCCCTAAGTTTTTATCCTATTTCAAACTCTTGGTACTCGAGCTTTTTCTTCTGCTAGTTCATTTTAATTTATGCACGTTATTTCTCGCGATACCCCTCAAATCCGAGACACGGGTTAATCATGCTCAGGCCCAAACCCCGAGGGAAATATCCTACAATTAATACTTTAATGAACACAGAATATAAGATGAAATAAGAAATAAAATAATAAACTGAAGGAATGCTAATTAAAAATCCTTAATATAAAATTGTTCAAATCCGATAATCCCAAACTCCATAAGTTTAACAACTCGGGAATCCATCTAGTGGACCCCTAATAAAAATCCCAACTGTAAATAAAAATACTAAAATAAGATCCAAAGCAAAAAAGTAAGCAGTCCTACGTAGTCGATGGAATAGAAGTCTGTATCTGCTCTACACGACCAAGCTCTAACCCTAGAACTGACGAGCACCTGAAAAATAAAAGAGTGGGTCAGGCCCACAAGCAAGTCCTGATCTACTACGATCCAAACAGGAATCTGATATGCAGATACACCTAGATAGACTCCACAATATCTAGAGTAGTCCATATATATATATATATTACACACTATAAGACACTCACTAGTCCAATAGGTCTGTCTCAGCCTGAGTAGAGATACCATACAAATCGCACATTACGTGGTCATGTGTACTTAGACCTACCAGGGAATAACACATATGTCCAGTTATCCATCCTATGCGATATACGCACCCTAACCATAGTCCTGAGACTCAAGCTCATATCATGGCACCATATAATAAATATATAAAATCCGTACTCTTCCGGATACGATATACCATCCATTTGTGATATATATATAGACATCAGTCCTGAAACCACACTAAGTCATTCAACTAGTTTGTTGACACGACACAAGTAGGTGATGGATTTAACCTATATGGTTAATCCATACCCTAATCCGAATTAGGTAGGACTTAGTGTTTGAACTAATCCATACCTAGTATGTCACCGTCTTATACCGGTGCATACTATCCTCCATATAGCATAGTTACTAAAACAACACTATACAAGCAACAACCATCCTCCAGAATATGCATTAGTATAAATTCATACATATATATCAATATTAGGTATTCACTACAAAACCTAAATATCATGCTCCAACAATTTAAATAGCTAGAAAAAGACATAGTATTTGAATTCTCCATATAGTCCATAAACCGAAACAATTATCACCCATAAGGCATTAATTCATTCCAAACCAATCACAGTTGAATATACAAATAATCCATTATGTTTATAAAATGGTGAAAAATATGATTAAACATAATTAATTCATATATCAACAATTTGCTATCTTCCGGTATTTAAATTTCTTAGCAAAACAGTGCAACGTATAGTCATTCTTTGAGCTATTTGTTACTCCTTTCCTTAATCCAATATTGTAATAAGTGTTTCCAATATTTATATAAGTCCTTAACACTTAATTACACCATGTAATAGCCTTTAAACAGCTTTAGTAAACACTGTGCAGCCCAAATAGCCCCCTAAACAACCCAACTGTAGGCTTCTGGGTGAAAGCAGGCTCTTCCAAAATGAAGAGCTTGCTCTTCTTCAACAAGAGCCGGCTACAATACCTTAGGAGCTGGCTCCTAGCAAGGTAGATCCGGCTCCACACCTTAGGGAGCCGGCTCTAAGGGTAGGAAGAGGCGGCTCCTCTTCCTTTGGAGCCTGCTCTTCTCTCCTTAGATACCGTAGTCTATTCCCGCATCGTCTTCTCCATTCCCAGTGATTTCCAGAACTTCTATAATGTGTTATAATTCTTATTCTAGGTTCAATCTTAGTCCTAGATAAATTTAAACCACCAAAATCCAATCCTAAGACGTAAAGGAACACAAGTTTTTAAGCCATGATTATAGAACCTCCGTCATAAAGTTTAAGCAACTTAAAATAGATTTATACAGATTAATATAGTGAAATCAAAAACTGATCTAAGAACTTGTTCTAGGGTTTAAACTCAGTTTTAGATTAGTTTTAAGGCATCCAATCCATTATTAATCTCTATTAAACAAAGCTTATACGTAAACAACGAGAGAAAACAAATAAGAGATCACAGATTTATGCAGACCAGTTAATTCAACGAGATTAAATAAAATTCATATATGCATAAAAGACTTATTATAATGTTTGTTTAGATCTATTTTAGCCTTTATTTAATCCCTGGAGTCTAACTAGGCATGCACAGAACACGAATTAAAGGGAAAGAGAAGAACAGAGACTTACCTTTGAGTCTCAACCTTGAAAACTAATTCCACGTCTCTGAGTGTTAACCACCCTTGCTGCTCCTACTGCAGTCCAGTAACACACACCAAACTTCCCTCCTTGATTCTGTTTTGTAAACCACCCAAATTCCCACTCCG